TTCTGTACTTTTCCAAATAAACATGCTGCAAGAGAGATCTCCCCTAATAAATAAGCTCCCTGGTTAGCCAGGGTTCTGGAAGGCAGAACAATATGGCAGCTCCACTGTCCCCTGCTAAGGAAGAGCCCAGAGGGCTGGCAGACTTTGCCAGACCTGACCAGACCAGGTACCCAGACAAGAGGTCTTTAAGCTGAGCTTTCAAGAATCAGATGTTGACATGGGGTGCTCCTCGGTTAGTTGCTCAGTTGTGCCCTAATGGAAAAACATTTCTTCTACACCGTGTACTTAACTTGCTCAACATTAAGGGGGCATAATAGGAATCTGACACCTTGATCCTGCCTGCCGGGAGACAGGATGACACATAAGCACGGGAGACGGCTATCAGAAATCCCTAGTCAGTGTGACTGTGTGTGGTTCAGACACTAAGTGCAGCTGACTGAAAGCAACTAATTGGCCTCATTAACCAATCACTCAGCTGTGTCAAGCATGGTGCTAAGCATTTTACATCTGCTATGGGTATATGGCCAGCCCTGAGCATCCTCGTACAAGCATCTTCCTAGTAAATCCAGGCCATCTCTATGGTGTTATTTTTACCAATCAATAATGCGTGAATCATTTCATTATATGCTTTAAAACTGTACATGATTGATGATTTGAGGAGAGGGGGAGGCTCTCTTTTGAAACAGTGGTCACTGCAAGCCCAAGTCTCATGCCTCACTTTGATGTCAGTTAGAGACCATCAGAGGGCTGCTGTTGGTTTAATTTCTCCTATAGGCAGTTTTGTTAACATGAGGGAAGAAAGAGGGCATGTTACATAAAATGGCATCGCTGCATTTCAGGTTTTATGGGGTAGTTTGCTTTATCAAGTTAAACAGGTACGGAAGCAGGGCTCCAAGCTGGCTATAAGTCACGAACTGAAAGAGAAAAAGAGCTCTTTAAGGAACAAATAATGGATGGAGGTGCATCAGGATGCTGTGTGAGGGGTTATTTAACCCAGATTTCTTTTTCATTTGGTATGAAAGCATTTAATTCTGCATGAGGTTGAGGATAAGGTTTATGTTTCTGAATGGCCTCACAAGGCAAGGACAGATTCCATTAGCCACATGTAAGAATTTTACACATGTTGAAGCTGAATTTAGAAAAGGTCCTGATTTATCCTCACTAGATCCCTTTAAATGCTATCTTTACTTCTTTCCTTTTCTTCCTCTTTTGCTTTGATAGTCCATTCTTCTCAGTCTAATCCAGATACACTCTTGGCCTTTATCCAGCTGTAAAAGTATGTTCTGTAAAAGTATGTTACAGAAACACTCGTTTCTGTGGTCACTGTGAATGTGAAGAGAAGGTTCTGGAAGTATTGGCAGGAGGGCCTACAAGGCAGGTTTCAGCTGATGCATTAAGGCTTGGCGTCTCCTTCTTGACATCATCTCAGCCTCCGTGGAAGATGAATTTGCCCTGACAACTGCTTGCCATGCCCAGACTGTATCAAGTAGCTGACTGTACAGGGACGTGATAAAATGAATCTCCCTCCTCCCACCCATCAGGTGGTCTTCCGGAGCCTAACACTCCTTCATTGGCTCCCATGCCCCACAGTGAGGTTTAAACTCCAAACAACAATCAGCTGGATCTCCAGTAATGAATGGCAGCCACTGTCCCTCTGAAGAGCCTCCTGAAACACGTTTGTGCTCTTGTGACTCTGCCTTTCTGCTTAGGCCATTCCTCCCACTGGAATGGTCTCTGTGTCCACACAAATCCAGTGTGTCCCTTAAATTGCAGCTCAAGGACCCTCCTCCCCTTGGGAGGGTTCCCTGACCATCCTGGCTCTAACGGCCTGCCCCTGTCCTGAACCCAGTATGTCCTCCCTGCACGGGGCTGCCACATAATTGATTACCCATGGCACTTTGGAGAGTGGAAGGGGATCCCACTATACTAATTGAGCTGGGACATCAGGTGTAAACCGAGACTGTTTGGGGGAAACCATTATTGCATACTTGGTTCATCTACTGCATTGTACTCAAGGTCGAGACTGTGTCATATATTCCATAGGACTTGCTCTAAGTCCAGCACATAGAAGGCACTGATCAATGAAATAAAGGAGAGACAGTGACTTGATGGGTGGAGGCGGACAGAAGGGTGGATGGATGGATGGGCCTTCAAAGTGCTTACCCCTTTCTCAGAGAGCAAGCTAGTTACCTGAGGACTCTACTGCTTACATAAAAGCTCCCCTATTTAGCCATTTAAAACAAAACAAAACTCTCCCTCTGTTTGAATTCCCCAAGTTGGCCTCTATTCTTCCACCCTGGCCCCCTAGTTAAATGTGTTCACTGCTTCTTTCTGTGGCCCCAGCTGGAGGGTAGACACACCCCAGCCTTCGTTTCCATTTGGTTTACTGTGCATTACTCCAGGAGGCAGACAGTTGCTTCCAGCAGAATGTCCTCCAATAAAGAAAGAAAAGATTCACCATCCAGAAAACAGCCAACTTGTTTGGAATAAACACTAATTTCACTTAGTGCGAATGGTGCAGCCCATTCCCCGGAAATCAGGGGCCTCATGTCACTTCTACCAGTGCCTTGTCTCTGGAGTCATGTCTTAAACACCAGAAATCGTCTTGATATCAGGAATGCTAATCAGTTTTTTGTATTTTTCTAAAGCATATTTTTCTCTCCTCCTTGCAACCCTTCTCCCCACCCCCGTTTCAGAAACGAGAAGGAATCCTCCAGTCCCGGCAAATCCAAGAGGAAATAACTGGTAACACAGAGTATGTCAACACCATTGTTGCCAGCAAGTCTGTAATGGAACACAGATGTTGCTCCGAAACTCATCCATTTGCTGATATTTAGTTTTCATTTATTGGGATTGCAAGAGGGATTAGACTTCAGCCAATGATTATAGTTTAGCCTTTTCCATGCATTCAAAACATGCCTCTCAATGCTTAAGGTACAAACTTGGGTGGGGAAATGGGCAGAGGGAATTAGCAGTGATTGAAAAATTCTAATTTTGTGACACTCCAGGAAAAAGTGTGCCCAAAAAAGCCAACCAGCATGAAATCGTCATGCCATGAACATGAAGCTGAATTTAAATTGTTCACCTTCAGCAGGACGTTTTTCTTCTTTCTCTGAATCTGATTTCTTTGGCTACATGCCATGACCCAAAAAGTCCCGCTCTGCCTTAAAGTGGTGGGTTGGGGTTGTTTTTGTTTTTTTACTTTAAGAAACTGGAATATCAGGATGTGTCATAGGTTTGCCACAGGGGAAAGTTTTGTTCTTTAGCAGAGAGAGCAGGACAGTGAGTTTGGGTTTGAGATCACTGGGCAGGCTTGAGCCCTGGCCACACATAAAGCTGGGCAAAATTCATAGGCAGCATCCCCAGCTCCCTGCTTTCCTCTGTGTTGTCTTGAATAGAAAGAGTAAAGTGGGGAGAGCAGGGGTCTCTAAGCCAACCTGACTTGAGTTCAAATCCAACCTCTGCCGCTTACTCACCAATGAGGCCCTTAACCTCTCTCACCTCAGTTCCTTCACCTCTGGAATGGGGAGTATTTTCCTGACCGGAGGGGTTGTGAGGATTCAATGTGGTAACAGATGGTGTGGTAACAGAAGAGCCTCGTGTCCCCAGGCTCTTCACTGCTCTTTCCTGGCTGTTCCCCATCACAGCTGACCCATACCTTCCAATCTCTAGGAAACTTGCTCCCTGGTCCCAGCTGTGGCTGAAAGGGGAACAGCCTGTCTGGACCACACTGCACATGTGCTTTAAAAAGGGCATTTCAGGCCCAGGGTCGGGCAGAGATGTGGAGCATCCCTTCCCAAGATGGCCAGTCTATGGCCTGCAGAGACCCATCAAGCAGCCCCCACATCACTCCAGGTGCTGGGCTTGGCAGCCAACGGGGTAGCTGGTCTATGAGGCACACTGATTCTTGGCCGTGGTTCTGTGAGGGGCGGAGGTGTGCTGCCCAGGCTCAGGCCTGCTGGGAAAGGAGAAGGCCCTGCCACTCTGCCCCATTTGCTGGGCTTGTCTGACCCACTATTTCACCTTCGGGAAAAGAGGAAGACATAGCTGAGAGGAGCATGGCCTGTGAGAAACTCCCAAGTCAGGGAACATGGAGTTTCAGTTAGAGGAGCAATCTCAGCAGCAGGCTGTGCTTTCTAGGGTCTCTCTGCCATTCTGCCACACAGACACAGGTGCGAACTCTTAATCGTGACAACACAGTACCGCTTATGAAGCACTTATTCATCATAAACACATGAAGCAATGATTACAACTCCTAAAAACCTTGCTGCCCAAAGGAGAAGGAGACTACGCTTGGTCTACCCACCAGTTAACTCCAACCTCATTGTTCTTTCCACTACACCACCCGCTGGTTATCACTGGCGAGGTGATAGATGCACAGTTGGAATAAACCAGTAAAATCAGTAAAATAAGAACCAAAAGTACATTGAGAAAAAAAATGAACTGATCATTTACTGTATATTAGGAATTACGCTAAAATCTTCCCACATATTAAATCATTTAATGCTCACAACATCCAGCTGAGGTGTTTACATTATCCTCATTTTAGAGAAGTGAGACTTAGAGCCCAGAGAGGCTTGGTAGCTTGCCCACAGTCACACAGCAAGCAAGCGGCTCTGTGAGATTTAAACCTAAATAGTCCATCTCTGACACTTGTGCTCTTAGTACTTTGCTGTTTCAGTGCTATGAGTATGGTTCCAGTTCCTACCCTAAGAAAACCTGTCCTGGGTCAATGTCAGGCACAGCTTGGTGGATGTCACAGATGGACAGGAGAAAAACAAACCAACCAGATGCCCACAGCAGCCTAAGCAGTGAAATTCCACTTTGGTGTGATGCTTTGGCTCCACTCTTAAAATGTGGTGGGGAATCTGGAACCCCCAAGTCCAATATTCTTTCTCAGCTGTAAGCAATACTGAGATTTCATTTAAGGCAAGAAATAGTCCTTTAAGCATTGCTTATATGAGGCTTTGTGCAAACACCAGTGTATCTGTATAGAAGAGGGGAAAGGTAGGGGGTAATGTGGTAAAGACCACCAATAATTAGAGACAGTGCAGGAATAAAATGTCCAGAAAGGAATAGTTGGGGGCTTTTTAGCCAAGGATGAGAGAAGGGTCACAGTTTTCTCCTTTTCCTGCAGGGCTCTTTCCGGAAGGCATGGTGAGTTGCAGAAGATTGTCATCTGGTGCTGGTGGCTGCCACGGGGGTCTAGTTAATTCTGCAGCAGCTGGAACAGGCACTCAGCTTGCTTCCTGCATGTGTCTGCACCAGTCTGGTGACAGGGCCCCTTGGTAGGGAGGGTGAGCTCACTGGTGGGAAGAGGAAAACTAATACACAGCCACACAACTGTGGCTAGCTTGTAAGTAACCTGACCATTGACATTGCTGGGCTTCTGGATGGGGCCTGGGCATTTGCAGGGCAGTGTTGCTTTAAGCGTACTGTGGAAGTAAAAGAAGAGGTGGATTTGTTTATAAAGTCTGTGAATGTCAGAGATCTCAGTGAGCTTTCTGGCAGTCTGAGCTTACTCACCAGTGCAAGAGCAGGAAAGTCAGGCTCCATGACCGTGCACCTTCCCAGCCCCACGTTCCTCTTGGAGACACCTCATTCCCTGCCTCAGATTCCCTCCACTATTTCATCTCTCCATTCAGGGAATATGGAGCTGCAGCAAGGAATATCCCTGCAAGGGACATGACTTTCCTGTTTTCTGTAATCCTGCATTCATTGTGGATAGTATTTGGAAATATTCTAATAATGTTAATCACAACTCAGATCAGTGGATGTTTTAGAGCACATGCACATAGTCTTTCAGCCCCACAACACCTGGAGGAGGTTCATTTTTCAGATGGCATTTTACAGAAGAGGAAACTGAGGCACAAAAGGTTGAAGTGACTAGATCACTCAAGAGCAGGAAGGAGCCCACGTTCTCTCCTGCAGCTCCCCAGCTCCCACTCCCCTAACCATGCACTCTACCAGGATGTTCGTCTTGGGCATCCTGGGTTTAAAAATCAAGGGGTGAAGTGATTTGATATTTGGATAACATGCTTCCTCCAAAAAGCTTCTGAAACTCTTTAGGACCATGACTAAATTATGTAACAGAATTTAAATTGCCAAGAGAAATTACCCAAGTTGAACTGCCTGACAGCACCCCCACAACCCCAGCCCAAAAGGGAAACCTTGTAGAAGGTGGGGACACACACACACACACACACAGAAAAAGATCCTAAGGCAAGAATCAACCTCACATCTGTGCCCCAAACCCAGCTTTCAGAGTTCCCAAAGAATTCCTGTCTATAACTGACCATGTGGCCTTTTGAGGCTTGTGGCCAGGACATGGGGTGGGTTTCCCCACCAGGAATCAGCCCTGTGCTCCACTTTGCATTTTCCTCCTTTTCAGAACGTGATGCCTTTGACACCTTGTTCGACCATGCGCCAGACAAGCTCAACGTGGTGAAAAAGGTGGGGAACAGGTGCCTGGGTGGGAGGGAGAGAGAGAGGGGAGCAAGCTGTAGCAAAACATTAGGAAAACCCCTCCCTGCAGCTTGCAAGCTTCCTGAAACTGGTATCATCACCAGATCTCTGCAAACTCAGGGCTTTGCTGCTCAAAATCCATTTTGCCTATATTCTCACTGGATACATTATCCAGTCCCTTTCTTCTCCCAGCAAGATGACAGTGCCTCTTGGGTTCTAAGGCTATGAACACCCTGCCTTCCCACCCGCACTGAGCCCCCAGCCACCCCTGCCTTCTCACTCAGACCTCCCTCTCTCTTCCTGGGCACAGGCAGGGACTGGAAGGGGGGACCTAGTGGGGTTATTTCCTCTCTGGCCACCTGGCCCTAGCTTAGGACATTCCACCCATCATTCTGCCCTCTTAGGACTCCCTGCTCCTCTCACAGTCCTGATACTGGCTATTTGAACCATGTGTATAGGGGTACAAATTCTGGGGGTTGCCCTCTCCTGTGAACTTGAGGGGCTTTGCAGGAAGAGCCCCATAGGCTGCTCATCCTCACTCAGCTCAGCACAGTGGACCCGGGCCCAGCACCCTTGGCTGGATCTCATCCTGTGATATTGCACCAGTCCTTGTCCTCATGGTGGAGTCACAGAGGCAGCCACCAGGGTCGGCACTGGTGAGAATCTCCATCTCAATGCCTGGCTTGTGCCTTTTTTTTAGACCCTCATCACTTTCGTGAACAAGCACCTGAATAAACTGAACCTGGAGGTCACAGAACTGGAAACCCAGGTGGGTGACAGCCCTGTGCTCAGAGTGGGGGCAAGGCCCTGCTACTACTCTAAGTGCCCCATCCCTGAATTGGTAGAAGGGATTCCCACACTGACCCAGGAGGGAGAGGATTCTATTCTCTGCTCAGAGGGATAAACTGCATCGAATTTCTCTCCATTTTTTCCAATTTTTTATTTTTTGAAATAGCAAGAATATTATCATGAATACCCATTTATTCTTCACCTACATATACCAATTGTTAATATTTGGCCACATTCTGCTTTTTTTTCTCTCTCTCTCCATCTCTAACTACTTCAGTATACATCTTTTAAGAACAAGGACATACTCTGAGCTAATCGCAATCCAGTGATCAAAGCCAGGCAGTTTTAGTATCAGTAAAGTATGATAATCTGTTTAGGTTGAACCACATGCAAATGCTGATCTTTGGCTACTTTCGACAGTATCATATGGCTCAAAGAAACACAGTTGACCTAATATTCTCACATGCTGCATTTAGCTACCATGCCTCTTTAGTAGACTTTTTAATGTAGAACAAATCCTCAGCGTCTGTTTGCATGACATTGACAGTTTTGAAGAGTGCAGGCCATCCAATCATAGAATGTCTCTCAGTTTTTCTGCTCATGATTAGATCCAGGTTATGTGTTTTCATTAGCAGTACTGCCTAAAGAATGCTGTGGACCCATTACTGGTGATAATAATTTTGATCACTTCATTAAGCTGTTGTCCACCAGATTCCCTACTGTAAAGCTCTCCCCTCCATTATGATAACTGATCAGTTTTAAGACTATGTGAGGTATTCTGTTTTCCATCCCCTCTCATCTGTGATGAATTTCTAAAGCATGGTTTTCTTCTTTGGTGCACGTGGGCACCTCCTATTATTTTTAAAGGCAGTTCCCACCCAGGAGTGTCACTGAGCTCTGAGTGTCTGGACTCTGAAGTGAGCCTCATCTACTTTTTTGGGAGACAGGAAATATGGAAAAGGGATGTTTCCCCAAGAGGGCTAGAAGGAGCTCTGGAACTTCCACTTCAGTGTTCATGGGAAGGGTGTGCTATGAAAGGGAGGCCCTGCCAAGCACATGTGGTGACCATCTGTGGGTTTGTGGTACTCAGGCCTGTGACTCCCTGACCCAAACCCAGGATCCTCCAGGAGCTGAATGATTGGATTTTTAAAAAATTCTCAGCACATTCTAGCCACAGCCATATTGAGGACCAGTTGACTCGTTCCCTGGGAGGGACACAGACACTGGGGTCTGCTCTCCCATTGTCCACCCTGGGGTGGCCTGCAGGAGTTGTGCTCAGGCCCTTCCTGCCTGAGTCAAAGGCTGGATGGATGGAAGCAACAAGGCAGCTGCTCCGAGGTCAAGTGCATGCTCAGGGTCACATGCCTGTGAGGATGGCTGAGCCACAGGCACACCAGCCACTCACCCAGCAGAGCTGAGACTCTGCACCCAACCCATATTCCAAGCACTTCCATCTAGTTTTAAGTTTCCTAAGATGATACCAGGAACTTTGGCCTCTTGCAAATGCTAGCAACTTTGCTTATGTCCACAAATATTTGGTGACCCCACCTCCGTTGAAAGGTTCTAGAATATCAGATATACATCTGACCTCTATGTTTTTGCTCATGCCGTATTTCATACCTGGCACACCTACTCCACCCAAATTCCCCTCATCCCATAGGCCCCCACTGCCTGTCTGGACTGCTCAGCCCACACTCCCCTTGCCCTCCCTTGAGCAGAAGACCTGCAATCTCTCTGCTTAGCCTCAGAGCCTGTTGTCCCTCAAAACAAGTTCCCAACCAGTCTGTCCTCTATCGTCCTTGATGGAAGAGACAAAGTTCTAAGCTTCTTGCCATGATCCTCAGCACACAGCCGGGCTTTGTCGACAAGAGCCAGTAAATTGTATCCTGCTTGCTCTGTTTTCCCAAATAGCAACAATAGTTAATATTTATTAAGTGTTGACTACATGCCAAGCAACATTCTAAGCATTTTACACATGCAAATTCATTTATGACAGTGCTACGAAATAGATACTATGCTATTATCATTTCCATTTGACAGATGAGAAAAATAAGTCACAGAGAAATTGGGTAACCTGCTGAAGTCAAACAGCTAGTAAGTAGGAGAGCTGGAGGCCTAGCTCCAGAACCCACATTCGTAACAGCTACACTATGCTGCCTCTCAAGCAATAATCAAGTGAATGGTGAGAAAGGAGAATTCCAGGCCTGTGTAACATGAATTCTGTCTCTGCTCATAAAGCAAAAATCACCCTAGCTGGCTCATGCCATTGGCCTGGGACATCTCCTTTCCCTCCTCCCTCTCCCCCGCCTTAGCTAACTCTGCTCATCCCACTCAGGCAGCGCCTGCTCCAGAAGCCTTTCCCAGTGCCTTCAGGGGAGTGACCTTTGTCCGTCTCACACAGTCCAACGTGCCTCCCTCCATCAGAGCAGCTGCTGTATTTTCCCCACAGACTGTGAGCTACTTGAGGGCAGGGGCCACACCTGACCCACTTCTGTGGTCCCCTTGCCAGATCAGGGCTTGGTACATGGCCAATGCTCAGTAAATGCTGGAAGATGGTACATGGTCAATGCTCAGTAAATACTGAAAGAGCGAAATCAGGCCCATGGGCTTGCAGCTCCTGTGCTGGATAAGACAGATAAGAGGCTCCTGCCTTGGCCCACTGCCCCTGCCCCTGTCAACAGCCTGCCTGGGGATGTAGCCTTTGGTGGGAGTCAACGTGGAAGCTAATGAGCCCCCTGGATGGGGCGAGGCTGGGCTGCTCAGGGACCCAGTGCCTTCACCTGGCTCTCCCCTCCAGTTTGCAGATGGGGTATACCTGGTGTTGCTCATGGGACTCCTGGAGGGCTATTTTGTGCCCCTGCACAGCTTCTTCCTGACCCCGGACAGCTTTGAACAGAAGGTAAGAGGCTGAGGTGTCATGGGAGGCCCTCAGCCCACATACCTTAACCCATCTGCCCACACCTGCTTGAAGCCATTCAGGAAAAAGGCAGTGGCTCCTAATCTTCATCTGCCTAGCATCTTCAGTGATTGGATGTGTGGCTCATTCTGATGAGCAGCTGAGCTGGGAAGGCGCTACCTGCAGCTTACTGAGCTTCCTGAACAGCTTTCTATTCCTTTTGAAGTCTGGCCCTGGGTCTCTAGCCATTTGCTCTTGCCAGGGGCCACAGCCCCACCTCCTCTCTCCCCAGAGGTGCCAGGGAAAGTGGCTGCAAAGCTGGTCAGACCTGAGGCCCACACTCAGCCTAGGTCTGATGCCTCTCATGGGCATATCAAAATCTGCCTGCTAGACAAGGGGCACTTGGTCCAGAGCAGAAACCCTTCTCTGCCTTCTGCACACATTTACCATCTGATCCTTTCAACTGTGTGCACTGATGTCCTGCACTGAAAAGTCCTGGTAGTTGACATAGGAACATAGTAGGACAGGAAGAGGATTTATTACTTTACCAGGAGCATATCGCCAAGCAAATTGGGACCAGCTAGCTTACACTCCACATGAGATGCCCATTATGGTAGCCTGGTTTCTGCTTCAAATTAGGGCCTCATTTTAGGTTGGCCTCTGCCCCTCTGGCTGTAGTGCTGGCTCCTCCACTTCCCAGGGAAGGTCCAGAAGCCCCATGGGCCCAGGAATGAGTGTGCAATGACACAGGCACTGTATTTCTCTTTCCAGGTCTTGAATGTCTCCTTTGCCTTTGAGCTCATGCAAGATGGAGGTTTAGAAAAGCCAAAACCACGGCCAGAAGGTACCTTGCTTTTCCCTGGGTTTATGACAAGACTTTGTGACCCTGACTCCCTGCACGGAAGTGTCTGGGGCACAGGGCAAAGCTCATGTTTGATACCAGAAGGAAGAGTTTCTTTTCTGAAGCCTTCTATGCCATTTGCATGGGAAGGTGAGACAGAGCTCAGCTGCCCAGCCCTGGAGAGCTTCTGTGAGCTGCCAGTCACAGTGCTGTGGGAAGAGAAAGAATCTGCAATCCCAGGCATGGGATGTGGCTCAGAGCAGAGGAGCAGAAACTGCCCTGCATCCAGTGTCTTCTGTCCCTGGACAGAGTACTGACCTGCCAGAGACCTGTATCCCAGTTCAGCAAGGGCACGAGGCAGGGTCACTGCAGGCAGCTCTGCTCTGGTCACAATTACCTGTCCTGTCCTTTGCCTGCTCCAGCTCTGCCCAAGGACGAGGCCTGATGTGTCAGGTTGGGTTGCAAATGTAAGACTGAGAAAAAATGCAAAAGGAACAAAATGCTCCAGTAGTCTCCTTGCTATATGTGTTATTTTCTGCCACTAAAATTGAAATAATTCTATTTTACCAGCACTCGTGGGGCAGCACTGTTTTGCAGATAATTTCCTGTTTACATCATGCTGGAACATTAAGAATGCCGTTCATGGGCCCCGTTGCCAGTTGTTGAAAGGCCAGTGGACAAGCAGAGATTGCATGCTCTCAGCTCCCATTACTGCTTCTCCACCCCAACCTGCACATACAAGGGGTTTTCACTGACTCTAGTGGGTCTGAGAGCCCATAAATCATGATATGCCAAGAGAGGTGGTTGGGATATTAAGAGCGTGAATTGAATAATGGTTGGTGAGGATGAAGCAACCTGGTTGGTAGGCCCTGGAGGGAAATAATGCCAAAGCAGAAAGTTTGGACTTTTGGCAGTGGGAATCATGGAAGGTCCTTGAGTAGGCAAGTGGTGTGATCCACTCTGTTCGATCATTTGGAAGGCAGTGTGAAGGACAGATATTTAGATGTGGGGAACCATCAGTGGCACTGGGAAACCCAGGAGGAAACACAAGCTTGGGTGGGGACATGAAGAAGTCAGCTTTGGAAACTTGAGGTTGATATCTAGGTATTGACCAAGCAGAACAAATTTGGGGAAAAGATTGGCGCTGCGGTTATTATAATTGGAAGTCTTCCATTTTTTGGAAGCCGAACAACAGGAAAGAATGTGGAGAAAAGAAAAGGGTTTGGGACAGTATCTCATGGGGATGCCTTTACTTATGAAGCTGGAGGAGAAGGCAGGGAAACCAAAGAGATATGGCTTATAAAGCTGTTGTTTGCGTCTCCGTCTCACCACCCCTTCCAGACCTTGCTGTCAGTGCTAGCCAACAAGAGCCAGTCCCTCATCGGCATTTATTATCACCTTGTCCTGAGCACCTAGTCACTGCTGAAGGAGGACCTCTTGCAAGGCTGATGTCTTTCCAGGGCTCTCTCCCGTCCCAGGCCACTCTACCCATCCATATGCCATTAGGAATGGACTCTGAGTGTCCTGTGACCAGATGACGAACACCCTGCTTCTGGGTATGAGAGGCAGAAGAGGAGAGAGAGTTCTGGCCAGCATCTCTACTTCTGTCTTCTTGAACTGGTTAATACGAAACTTCCTGGTTACAAATTGGAAGTACTCCTTGTGATACTTCAGTTTTCAGGCTTTTATTTCCCTCAAGATGAAGTTTTCTCAGTATCAATTAATCTATAGGACTACTGCAACATATAGACATTTCTTGTGTAATTATCAAGCCACCTAATATGAAACTTCCTGACCAGTGTGAATGGAAAAACACATCTGTTTTATTTGCTGTTACACCGGGCATCATGCCCATGCTGAAAATTTCCAGTGCGTAAAGGGGAACTGAAGTCGTGTTTTGTGAAATTGTGCTTTGTGAGAGGTATACCCCAGCATTCTCTCTGGTTTCTATGCTTCTACTCGGAAAGTGAGATTCAATAGTAAATGCTGCAGACTTTACAAAAGGTACCAATGTAGGTAATTCTTTGAGGATATTTCAAAATTAAATTGGCTTGTGGTGATAGCATTTTTCATGGCAAATGTTTTTAAGGTCAGGAAAATGCATTCTCTGCTGTGCAACCCTCAAAGCTCTGTTGTACCTTGAAATCCCCTGGGTTTGCATCTCAGGTGACTTTTACTGCCCAGACTTCATAACCTTTTAGTCCTCCAGCTAGTGTAAGCCAAGTGTTAACTTCAAGGTCATGGCCAATGGAGCAGTTGAAATACTGACATGAAGCTGGTGGCTTTTTATTTAGGACATTATACCATGTGTCTTCAAATGCACATGCCTACCCTGTTATCATCATTCAGATAGACTCATGAATGAAATGGTTAAGACCCCAGCATAACAGGCAGATGGGGATTCAGAAGAACTCTAGTACTAGGCAGGAATGAAACCTGTAGGACAGCCAGGAGGCTGATAGAATATCTAAAATTTAAGGAGTCAAATAGTTGGGACCAGACTACTTCAAGCAATGCTAAAAATCTAGGCAGGTGCTGGCATCTTAATTCCAGGTGATCTGTTCATTCCCGGAAGGACTTGCTAGTGGCGGGAAATACAGGAAATGGCTCAGCTTTCCCTCCTCATTCTCTCAGGAGATAGGGTACAGACTGGACAGTGGCAAAAATCTAAAACCCTGATAAATCAAGTATTAGCAAGGGTGTGAAACAACAGAAATTGCTGGTGTGAATGTAAATTGATACAACCATTTTAGAAAATAGTTTATCTTGATCTAGTATAGCTGAAGATTAGTTACACCCGTGGTAGGCAGAATGAAGGCCCCCCCATCCCATACATAGAAAAAGGGACTTTGCAGATGTGATTAAGTTGGGGAATCTAGAAATGGGGAGGTAATCTTGGATTATCTGGGTGGTTCCAAGTCATCACAGGGAAGAGGGAAACAGAAAACTCAGAGTGATGCAGCATGAAAAGACCCAACCGACCACTGCTGGCTCTGAAGAAGGAAAGGGGCCATGAGCCAATGAATGTGGGCAGTCTCTGGAAGCTGGAAAAGGCACGAACACTGATTCTCCCTCTGGAGTTTCCCGAAGAGATCAAAGCCCTGCTAATACCTTGATTTTATTTCAGTAAAATCCACTTTAACCTTGAGAACTGTAAGATAATAGATTTGGGTTGTTTGAAGCCACCAAATTTGTGGTAATTTATTATGGCCACAGTAAGAAACCAATACACCCTATGACTCAGTAATTCTACTCAGAGGTATGCACATCCATGTACCAGGAGATTAGTCCAGGAATACTCATGATAACCTGAGCTGGGTGTACATCCCAGTAGACAAGCTAAAGAGGAGTATATTTATACCACTGATTAACATAAAACAACAAAACAGAATGAACTGAGAGATCAAGGGAGGGATTTCCAGTTACTGCAGCATGAAGAGGTCAGGAATTACCCTCTGCAAGAAGGCAAGGATAAAGCTGGATAAGATGATCAAGAACAACCATTTCAAGGCACTGAAAACTTACTGTAAGTAGACAACAAATTGAGAAGCATTTATTCTTGAAAAACTCTGGAATTATAGTTGGATAAATGTAGTTACACCTCAATAAAACAATATATTATGCCCTAGTAAAATTGTTAAGAAATGAATAGCTTTTACAATAGCATGGATGAATCAAATAATTTTGAGGGAAAAAACATAGTATATGCTTCCATTTATATCAACCATGAAAACAGACAAAACTAAAACCTGCTGTTGAAAGTTTCATACATTGCTGGTGGAACTGAGAAGAGCGAGGAAGTAGTCACTGTAAAAGTCAGGACTCTGGTTATGAGGGAGAGAGAGTGGGGGCGCCTCAAGGGTGATGACCATGTTTCTACTTTGATATGTGTGGTAGTTACACGGCAGTTCTCTTCCAGGGTTACATATGTTGCATGTAATTTACTGGGCGTTTATCATATTTAAATTTGTTTTACTATGTAAAGAAAAGAGCAAAATCACCAAATAGGACAGCAGGCCACCAGCAATATGACCCATCTCTAAAGGATGGATCCTGCCCCAGGGGGACAGGGAGCCAACAGGAAAGCAAGGCAGAAACTGAGGATGAGCTAGAGCCATTGGGTGTGGGATGGGGCTGGAACATGAACTCTGGGGGGCCAGGCTCACCCTGCGGAGCTGGCTTGTGGCCGTCCAGCTTATTCCAGCCCCTGCCACCTGGTGGCACTGAACCACCAGGGGTTTCCCCCCACCGCCACACCTGGTCAGGGAAGGGACCTCAGCAACTGCCTCAGACTGGGTGGCACCAATGGGGCCATGGAGGGCATGGCCACACAGGGCCATGTCCCTTTCCTTATTGAAAGACTGAGTTTCTGCTGTTAAGAGACTTCCCCTCCCTCCTTTGACTTCTGCATCAATTAGAGAGCTGTTAGCTCATTTTGGCTGATCCTCTAATGAATGGAAAGGGTCACTTATGATTACCACCAGCTGAGAGAAGCAATCATTGAGCCTTTTCTCCTTGGCCAGAGGCTGTTTTCTCCCTAGAGTGCCTTTGGATCTCATCTGTCTCTTCCATGGCCCCAGCCAGCCAGCCAACCTCTGGTTGTCTCTAACCAGAAGCCCCACCATCCTATCTGCTCCCCGAGAAGGGCCCTGGGCCAGCACACAGAGGCTATCAGAGCAGACCAAGTTGCTAATCACACAGTTTATTAGGCCATGGCTTCAAAGAGGCTCTGCTTATATAGCATGGAGTCACAGTTCATTTCCAGACACCCAAAGCCCCTCCCGTGGCTGAGAGAGTGCACCTACTGGCCTGCCTGGAACTACCTGTGTGGCCATTGGCTTTCTTGATAAGGACAGACAATAAACCGTATTCTAGCTGCAGTCCTCCCTCTTTGCCAGGCCCACCTGGTGGTGATGATGTCCTATAGGAAGACGGAACTCAGATTTCCCAAGGAGCAAGGCTTAGTCTATGTGAATGGCAGCCCTTGGAGTTGTGCAGTACACAGACTACACAACTGTACATAACATCTGTGCTAGCAGGCAAAGATGGGAAAGTGGGAAGGAAACTATCACTTAGGGAACTTTTAATGCCTTCTAGGTGTTTTTCATAAAACCCAGTTTACTAGTGAGAAAACTGATTCAGAGAAGTGAAATGACTTTAACCCGGCTACATGGCCATAGTGAAGATGGGTTTCAAACCTTAGTAGGCACTAAAATTAAATAAAATGTCCAGTTTGAAATATTCTTCCATATTAGATCGCTTCTTTTTCCAGCAGCCTCAGAACTCACCTGTCTTTAAAAGAGATCCTCAAGCTTCCATCCATGTCTATCCCTCATCAAGCCCCCAGTTCCTCTTCTGTGCCTGTAACCACTGCCTCCACTTCTCACCTGCCCGTTCTGTTGTTAACACCTCTTCTCCACCTGCCCGTGGCCTTGCTAACTCCCAGGACACCAGCTGGGGCAGCATACCTTGGGGATTCTTTCCAGCTTTTAGCCTCCTCACCCTCTTGGGAGCACGTAACTGTTGGCCACCCCCTCTTTCTTCCTTGGCTCACAGGACACTAGACAATCATTCATTCATTTATCTATTAATGTCTTTTGAGTTCTATCCATGCCAGGTACTGGACCAGGCATTGCAGCAAATAAGACTGGCTCTCTGGTCAAGTTGCTGTCGGTCAGTCCAGGCAGAGGCAGATTTCATCAGATAAGCACCCAAATCACTGGTTCAGAACTGGAGCCAGCACTATGAAGGAAGAGCAGGGGGGCTCTGAGGACAAAGAGAAGAGCACTGCCCCCCAGTCAGGTGTCAGGAAGGCTTCCCTAAGGAGGCAGTGCTTTGAGCTGAGGAGTGTGGGAAGATCGGGAGTCAACTATTTGGGAAGAATCATCTAGATGTTGCAACAGCATGTATGGAGACTGAGATGATGGGGGAGTGCAACCTCTTGGGAGGTGGTAGAAGGAAGCCAGTGTGACCAGTGCATAGTGAACAAGGGGAAGTGTGGCATGAAAGGCAGGCCTGGGTCAGGTTATGCCTTGCAAAGCCATGATTTAGGATTTTGGACCTTACCTTACCTTAAGTGAAATGGTTGTATGGCCATACTAGTTGTGAGCTGCACAACTCCAAGGGGCGCCATTTTTGTTGTGGTTTATGGTACTGATGCCCTGGAGTCACGCAGTGCACATCCCAAGGGCTGAATAGTCTACCTACGGTAGGTAGAATGGAGTGGAGAGGACACAAGTCTTTGAGGAGCCCAGTTAGGAGCCTGTTGCAGTTTCCCAGGGCTGCCACACTTTGCCCTGCACACTCCCTCCCTGGTGAGCTCACCTTTGTCCTTCTGCCTGCCTAGTAATACCTTCCTGGGGTAACTTCCTAATCTTTGGCTTGAGAAGAATTTAATAAACAGTGAACCCTAAGCAGTCAGGGGAGGACAGGAATCAGCCCTCAGGGCATAGGACCCCAGCTGGCAGAGGGTGATTCGGCATGAGCAGGGCTAGGCAACGGGGCTAAGACCCTGGGCAGAGCCCATAGGCAGAAGCTCAGATAGGTGTGTGAACCAAGATGGAGCAGAAAGGGAGGCTGAGCTCCAAGACCCTTACATGGTCTCTAGTCAATCAGCAAGAGAGCTTGGCATGGAGTCTGTGCCCAGCTAGACTGGATCAGCGTTGGTGTGGGACTGGGATAAGGCATTGGGGTGGGTCCGGGGGGTGGGGAGGAGCCCTAAGGAGGTTCCCCAGCCCTGGGCCCCCCGTGGTGGCCCAGTTGGTGTTAATCTTTGTCGTGCTGGTGTCCAAGACTTGAGAAATCCTGGCTATGGTCGCCACACCTGCAGGAGTCCCAAGGCTAAGGCCCAGGAGCCCCAGCCCAGCCTGGCTGAGCCACTGGCATCCTGCTCTGCCTGGTCTTGAAGGATCCCTGCTCCTGTTCACCAGGGCATTGCTAGTCTGACATCTACCCCAATCCCTTCTTTCCCAGCGGCCCAGTGTGATCTCTCCAAGTTTTGAATCAGAGCATTTACTGTTTTCTCTTACATCATTTACCTCATCGGACATTCTGCACAGTTGGGTTTTTTTAAGTCATTCTTACTGGAAAAATGTCATGTATATAGAAAAGTACTTAAAACATAAATGTATAGGTTAGTAAAATAATATCCAGCAAGCCAAGCCACATATAACCAGCACTCAGCTCAAGGAAGAGAGTAACCCCAGCTCCCAGGAGTTCCCTCCACCTGCCCTTTCTGAGTACAGTCCTCAGTGTCTTCCCTAAATATAACCACTCCTCTGACTTCCATAGTCATCAGGCTTTTGCTTTTTCTTTCTTCCCCACCCTTTTCCTAATAGTTTTTTCCCTAAGTATGCATTCCTACAGAGTAGGCAGGTTCCCTTTTTTATTTGTTTTCTCTGCTCCAGTTCTTCAAAGAAGGGCTCTCCAAGGGAGGAGTGCAGGGAGGAGCCCTTGTTTGGGGAAGGAGCGGGTGGAGAAGCAGGCTGAGAAGTGACCAGCAAATAGGCGGGAAAGAGGACGTGGTTGTAGAAGAGCTCAAGAACCAACGGCAGAATTGTCCTGATCATATGGTCCAACTCCCAGCCTCCAAGCCAGCTGCCTTGCTGTGCCCTAGCTCCAAAGCCATCTGTCCCCTGACGACACCTGTGTGCTGAGTACTCCCTGTCAGGTGGGCTCCTGGCCCTCTGGGGCCCTCCTGTAGGGAAGCAGCAGCTTAGTCCTGACCATCTGGTCCCCCTCAGTCGCCCTAGGCCCTCCCCTCCCTTCCACCACTTGTGCCGGGCTGTGGTGGAAACTGAAGGCAGAGGGAGAGGGGCCCCAAAGACAGGTAAGACTCGGGGGACAGTCAGGGTCAGGGTGCCCAGGCCTGGAACCAGCTGTTTCCAGCTAAGCCTGCATGCTCTGGGATCTGCCTCATTTTAGTCAGCAGTGAGGAACGCTCCCTCCCCCTGCCACACCTCTGCCCCTCCCTGGCCCCTGCCCTGAGTTATTGCTGCCTCCGCTGCCCCCACTTCAACACCCTCCTGCCCTTGGTCAGCTTATGGGAACTGTTCTTCTCTCCCAGCAGGACAGGGAGCTGTCCTGTGGGTGAGGGGGCACACAGGTGGACAGTGGAAGGAGGGGGACGACAGATACCAACTTTGGCCCAGTTGCCCCACTGAAGCAAAGTGTTTGTTTTCTATGCAGACATCGTCAACTGTGACCTGAAGTCTACACTGCGAGTGCTGTATAACCTCTTTACCAAGTACCGGAACGCGGAGTGAGGAGCAGCCTGGGTCGTCCTCCCGCCCCCCTGAACCTGCTCATTCCCGCCTCCTGCTCTGTGCTCTCCCACGAGTCCAGCTACAACCCAGGGACAGTAGGAATGGAAATTAGGAAGGAAATGATCAACAACTCAGTGGGCTGATCCAGCAATGGCCTGGACAGGTTGTCCCCATCTGGGTGCTAGATCCAGATTTAGTGTGATTTGAGAACCAGCTTAGGCAAAAGAGACTCTCCACAGAAGAAGAAAATAAAGATTATGGTTACCACCTTGTGGGTGTAAACTGTACTGGGCACTACAGTAAGTGCTCTGATATACTCATTAACACTCATGACTCCCATTGAAGCAGGTATTACAATCTCCTTTTACAGATGAGGAAACTGAGTCTCAGAGAGGTTAAGTGGCTTGCCAGAAGCAGCATTTTTTTCCTTTGAACAAATTTGTTAATAACTAGCCCATTACATTCTTTGCACATTCTTTGGGTGTGTCTGTGTGCGTGTGTATGTGCACGTGAGCCCTCAAAGCAGACAGGAGTCCACTGATCTCACTACCATGCAGGCTAGGTGAGGGCTCATGATTCACACTGAAATTGACAAATCAAATTTAACCCAATTAACAGTATTTGTGTAGCAGGAGTCATGTCCCTCTAGTCTCTTGTACAAATGAAAATTACTCTTAATTCCTTCAGATTTGCAGTAACCCCATACTCTGGTTTCTGGGTGATGTTTGGGAAGGATTCTGTTTAAAATTAATGGAGTGGCACATTTTGCAGCTTTTTGCTTGATTGCATATAATGGAAGTGCCCTATATTTTCCTGCAAAATAAGTACTCAATTCATTATCATTAGGCAACTGTACAATGTACCCAGGCACCATAGAGAGCTGGGCACAGGCCCATGTGAGCATGGCTTGGGAAGCGGAGCTCTTCAACAGTGACCTTTGAACTTTAAAGAAAGGAACTCCGTTTTGCCTTCTAATTGATCATTTAGACCATTCCTGGCTAAGTCTGCCCAAATGCAATTACTGGTTAATTCAGACATGGAAAAATGTAAGTCATTTAGACCCAAGCCGAGCATTTTCCTTGCATGAGTTACTTGCAGGCTGATGCTTACTTGTATCCCCTCCATGTGATCCCTTCTTCGTCCCAGGCTGCCGGGTCCTGGAGGAATAGGAAAGGGGTTGAAGTGGGGTTGGCCAGGGGGAGCAAGCAGGATGGGAAATAGTTGTGCACATAACACAGAGGAGAGCACCCTCAGACAGAGGGATGGGGCTGGTGGCAACGCTTGCATCCTTAAACTGACCAAGGCCTTGGGTAAATCATCACTTGTTCTGATATTCTGTTTTCATTATACAATTTTCCAAAATATGCCAGATGGACACCAGCCTGTGTACCGCCTCCAGAAGTCTGGCCAGCTCTGTCAGTACGTTAGGCCACTGCACAAAGCCCAGCTCTAAGGAATTCATTTTGATCTCTAGCTATACCACCCAGAGTTAGACTGGGCTGCCACACTTTGCCCTGCACACTCCCTCCCTGGTGAGCTCACCTTTGTCCTTCTGCCTGCCTAGTAATACCTTCCTGGGGTAACTTCCTAATCTTTGGCTTGAGAAGAATTTAATAAACAGTGAACCCTAAGCAGTCAGGGGAGGACAGGAATCAGCCCTCAGGGCATAGGACCCCAGCTGGCAGATGGTGATTCGGCATGAGCAGGGCTAGGCAACGGGGCTAAGACCCTGGGCAGAGCCCATAGGCAGAAGCTCAGATAGGTGTGTGAACCAAGATGGAGCAGAAAGGGAGGCTGAGCTCCAAGACCCTTACATGGTCTCTAGTCAATCAGCAAGAGAGCTTGGCATGGAGTCTGTGCCCAGCTAGACTGGATCAGCGTTGGTGTGGGACTGGGATAAGGCATTGGGGTGGGTCCGGGGGGTGGGGAGGAGCCCTAAGGAGGTTCCCCAGCCCTGGGCCCCCCGTGGTGGCCCAGTTGGTGTTAATCTTTGTCGTGCTGGTGTCCAAGACTTGAGAAATCCTGGCTATGGTTGCCACACCTGCAGGAGTCCCAAGGCTAAGGCCCAGGAGCCCCAGCCCAGCCTGGCTGAGCCACTGGCATCCTGCTCTGCCTGGTCTTGAAGGATCCCTGCTCCTGTTCACCAGGGCATTGCTAGTCTGACATCTACCCCAATCCCTTCTTTCCCAGCGGCCCAGTGTGATCTCTCCAAGTTTTGAATCAGAGCATTTACTGTTTTCTCTTACATCATTTACCTCATCGGACATTCTGCACAGTTGGGTTTTTTTAAGTCATTCTTACTGGAAAAATGTCATGTATATAGAAAAGTACTTAAAACATAAATGTATAGGTTAGTAAAATAATATCCAGCAAGCCAAGCCACATATAACCAGCACTCAGCTCAAGGAAGAGAGTAACCCCAGCTCCCAGGAGTTCCCTCCACCTGCCCTTTCTGAGTACAGTCCTCAGTGTCTTCCCTAAATATAACCACTCCTCTGACTTCCATAGTCATCAGGCTTTTGCTTTTTCTTTCTTCCCCACCCTTTTCCTAATAGTTTTTTCCCTAAGTATGCATTCCTACGGAGTAGGCAGGTTCCCTTTTTTATTTGTTTTCTCTGCTCCAGTTCTTCAAAGAAGGGCTCTCCAAGGGAGGAGTGCAGGGAGGAGCCCTTGTTTGGGGAAGGAGCGGGTGGAGAAGCAGGCTGAGAAGTGACCAGCAAATAGGCGGGAAAGAGGACGTGGTTGTAGAAGAGCTCAAGAACCAACGGCAGAATTGTCCTGATCATATGGTCCAACTCCCAGCCTCCAAGCCAGCTGCCTTGCTGTGCCCTAGCTCCAAAGCCATCTGTCCCCTGACGACACCTGTGTGCTGAGTACTCCCTGTCAGGTGGGCTCCTGGCCCTCTGGGGCCCTCCTGTAGGGAAGCAGCAGCTTAGTCCTGACCATCTGGTCCCCCTCAGTCGCCCTAGGCCCTCCCCTCCCTTCCACCACTTGTGCCGGGCTGTGGTGGAAACTGAAGGCAGAGGGAGAGGGGCCCCAAAGACAGGTAAGACTCGGGGGACAGTCAGGGTCAGGGTGCCCAGGCCTGGAACCGGCTGTTTCCAGCTAAGCCTGCATGCTCTGGGATCTGCCTCATTTTAGTCAGCAGTGAGGAACGCTCCCTCCCCCTGCCACACCTCTGCCCCTCCCTGGCCCCTGCCCTGAGTTATTGCTGCCTCCGCTGCCCCCACTTCAACACCCTCCTGCCCTTGGTCAGCTTATGGGAACTGTTCTTCTCTCCCAGCAGGACAGGGAGCTGTCCTGTGGGTGAGGGGGCACACAGGTGGACAGTGGAAGGAGGGGGACGACAGATACCAACTTTGGCCCAGTTGCCCCACTGAAGCAAAGTGTTTGTTTTCTATGCAGACATCGTCAACTGTGACCTGAAGTCTACACTGCGAGTGCTGTATAACCTCTTTACCAAGTACCGGAACGCGGAGTGAGGAGCAGCCTGGGTCGTCCTCCCGCCCCCCTGAACCTGCTCATTCCCGCCTCCTGCTCTGTGCTCTCCCACGAGTCCAGCTACAACCCAGGGACAGTAGGAATGGAAATTAGGAAGGAAATGATCAACAACTCAGTGGGCTGATCCAGCAATGGCCTGGACAGGTTGTCCCCATCTGGGTGCTAGATCCAGATTTAGTGTGATTTGAGAACCAGCTTAGGCAAAAGAGACTCTCCACAGAAGAAGAAAATAAAGATTATGGTTACCACCTTGTGGGTGTAAACTGTACTGGGCACTACAGTAAGTGCTCTGATATACTCATTAACACTCATGACTCCCATTGAAGCAGGTATTACAATCTCCTTTTACAGATGAGGAAACTGAGTCTCAGAGAGGTTAAGTGGCTTGCCAGAAGCAGCATTTTTTTCCTTTGAACAAATTTGTTAATAACTAGCCCATTACATTCTTTGCACATTCTTTGGGTGTGTCTGTGTGCGTGTGTATGTGCACGTGAGCCCTCAAAGCAGACAGGAGTCCACTGATCTCACTACCATGCAGGCTAGGTGAGGGCTCATGATTCACACTGAAATTGACAAATCAAATTTAACCCAATTAACAGTATTTGTGTAGCAGGAGTCATGTCCCTCTAGTCTCTTGTACAAATGAAAATTACTCTTAATTCCTTCAGATTTGCAGTAACCCCATACTCTGGTTTCTGGGTGATGTTTGGGAAGGATTCTGTTTAAAATTAATGGAGTGGCACATTTTGCAGCTTTTTGCTTGATTGCATATAATGGAAGTGCCCTATATTTTCCTGCAAAATAAGTACTCAATTCATTATCATTAGGCAACTGTACAATGTACCCAGGCACCATAGAGAGCTGGGCACAGGCCCATGTGAGCATGGCTTGGGAAGCGGAGCTCTTCAACAGTGACCTTTGAACTTTAAAGAAAGGAACTCCGTTTTGCCTTCTAATTGATCATTTAGACCATTCCTGGCTAAGTCTGCCCAAATGCAATTACTGGTTAATTCAGACATGGAAAAATGTAAGTCATTTAGACCCAAGCCGAGCATTTTCCTTGCATGAGTTACTTGCAGGCTGATGCTTACTTGTATCCCCTCCATGTGATCCCTTCTTCGTCCCAGGCTGCCGGGTCCTGGAGGAATAGGAAAGGGGTTAAAGTGGGGTTGGCCAGGGGGAGCAAGCAGGATGGGAAATAGTTGTGCACATAACACAGAGGAGAGCACCCTCAGACAGAGGGATGGGGCTGGTGGCAACGCTTGCATCCTTAAACTGACCAAGGCCTTGGGTAAATCATCACTTGTTCTGATATTCTGTTTTCATTATACAATTTTCCAAAATATGCCAGATGGACACCAGCCTGTGTACCGCCTCCAGAAGTCTGGCCAGCTCTGTCAGTACGTTAGGCCACTGCACAAAGCCCAGCTCTAAGGAATTCATTTTGATCTCTAGCTATACCACCCAGAGTTAGACCTCCCGTACTGTCCAAAACATTTCCTTCCCACGTCTACTCATTTCTTACTCTATGGTCTATCTGCAGTATCTCAGGACCCTTAAGTTTTAGATATGCTACATATTCACTGGATATTTTGCTCTAAGAAAGAATGGTTACTCAGTGTAATGAGCATTTAAGATACAAAGGCAATGTACTCTCTTGTCAATTTATGTAAGAGACTACAGTTTGTTTTACATATAAATAAAAATACTACATTTTTCATTAGGAAACACTAAATAGTATAATATTTCTCTTGACTGTTGGCTCTCTTTTAAATTCCTGATAGCAAATCAAGATAGAGCTTCGCTGTGTCTGCTTGAGCAATACTAAAGCAGGGTGAACAACAGGAATGCATTCACCTAAACAAAAAAACGAATTTTGTCTCCTTTTTTGTCTTTTTTTCTTGCTATATTGAAGCTGCAACTGTA